AGAATCTGCATACCAATCCACCCACAAGGTGCACAGCCCGTACTCCCAGAGGCTAAACAAGGTCAGCATGTACAAGAAGAAGACCGACTATCCGAAGCTTCGTGGAAAAGCGGCGGAGATCAAGGACATGGCAGCAGCCGTGCGGGCAATGTGGGCTCATTTTGGTGTTCCTGGTCAGGACTTCCAAGAGATTGGGTTACTCCTGGATTTGACATGCAAGTTCGAGCAGATACTGGAGGAATGGCCCATTGCAGACGGCTATTTCTGCCTTCCTGCCGAAGCTGCAGACAGACTGAAGACGAACTTTCGGGACTTCGCATGCTTGTATGTCATGGTCAGGGATCGCTTTCGCAGCGAAAATCGTCGGGCCTTCAATCCTACAGAAAAGATTCTCTCTTTTTCCGGAACAATGCATGTTTTTTGACATTTGTGGCTTTTATAAATATACAAACACAAATCCTGCAACCCTTTTAAACCCTATAAACAGCCTTTCTAAAGCCCACAAACCTTTTCTTCCAGAGACATATACAAGGATGCATGCCTGCGAGCATATCGTCATGCTCAGTCACTTGATTCATCCTGGCCTCACATCTTGCTGGCGAGGGGAGGACAGAAATGAATGGTCTCCTGCTTTATAAACACGTGCTCGCACAATCCACAGGGTTTTTTTGTGTAGAGGTTTCATATATGGGTCCTAGGAATTATATATAGAGAGGGCTTCAAGTCTAAACGATTTTGGGTTTCGGGGCCCTCGAGGACTACATGTCCAAGCTCGGCACTCTGATGGCTTCCTGCTGTCGTGGTGTTCAGCGAGAGGAGGCGAGCCACAAGCTGAACCTGAAGATGAGGCTTGCACTTCACCTGGAGTGGCAGAAGCTGTCGTGACCTCTGTTCTCTGTTCTCCTGGTCCATTTTGACAGATGAGATCTCCCCTGTTCCTTTCTTGGTGTTACACCGAGTCAGTGGGGAGATCCACACAAAGCAAACGCCCCTGTCCCTTTCTTGGTGTTACACCGAGTTAGGTCAGGGCGCAATATATCAAACCACACCCCTGTCCCTTTCTTGGTGTTACACCGAGTTAGGTCAGGGCACAATATATCAAAGCACTGCCCTGTCCCTTTCTTGGTGTTACACCGAGTTAGCTCAGGGCACAAAATCCAAGAGCTCTCATCGCTCTCGCGGAAAAAAAAATCGCAGTGCACAGAGGCCTGCCGCACAACCCTTTTAAACCCTCTCTATAGAAACCTGTAAATCCTGAACCCTATAAACCCTCTATAAGCCACAACAAAAGGAAGACTCTGTTTGCATCTCTCTGGCAGGCTCCATCATCCTGGACGAGATTTTGGTGGCCAGCTGTGGAGACTTGACGGTGCTCAGCAAGGGGAAAATTTGGGACTGGGCTTTGGCCCACTTTTGGCAAAGGCCTGCTCCAAGGGTTTACAGAGTGTGTCTTTGCAGTCCCACGAAAGAAGATTCAGAGTGCTCTCTGGCAGGCTGTGGCTGTGGTTTTGAGCTCTCCAAAGCAAACTCCCCTGTTCCTTTCTTGGTGTTACACCGAGTTAGGTCAGGGGAGGGCTATGGAGGTTTTGGCACAAAGCACGAAGGCCTGCTCCAAGGGTTTACAGACTGTGTGTTTGCATTCCCACAAAAGAAGATTCAGAGTGTGCTCTCTGGCAGGCTCTGGCCGGTTTTGAGCTCTGGAACTTTCTAAAGACATACCTGTGACGCTACAAAGGTCGTGACCTTTGTTCTCTGTTCTCCTGGTCGATTTTGACAGATGAGATCTCTCTTTTCCTTTCTTGGTGTTACACCGAGTCAGTGGGGAGATCAAGGACATGGCAGCAGCGAAAAAAAAGATGTCGTCGCAGTGCAGTTTCGAAACCTGTGACACATCGCGACTTCCAATGTGAAGAGCATCGCATGCCTCATTGTGTGAGAAGCTTTCGCACAGCGAAACTGCGAACAGCTCACATTATATAAAGCAGCAGGAAGTTTTGACCGACGAGATGTGAGGGCACACGCACAGAGAGTGAGAGAGAAACAGGGAAAACACACACGAACCCTAAGCCCTATACAGACCTTTTTGGCCCTAAACCCTCTATAAAACCCTACAGACCTCACCCTAAACCCTAAAACTTAATTCTTGTGGCTCAAGTTTTTGGCTCAAATAGAACAGAGGATCTCTCCTCCACAAACAAGATGTGCTGGTGGCTCGAATTCTGTCACTGAAACCTCCAAGAAAAAGTTCTTCTGGCTCAAATTTGTGGCTCAAAAGAACAGAGAGGACTCTCTCTCCTCCATTTCGTGTGTGTGTTTCGTCCAAATGTGGCATTGGGAAACACATGGAAACACAAGCACAACGGAATTTTGTGCCAGTAATCTCGGCTGCAAATGTACCGAAACAGAGTGTAATTCGGAGAACATGGGTGTATAATTTACACGTTTGGCGTGTAATTTACACACCCAAAATTACAAGAAAAAATGTAAATTTTATAAAAAAAAATTACACGTCAAAAACTTGTAAAAAATTAAAAAATGTAAAATGTAAAATTACATGGAATAGATCTTACAGGGACGGGCAAGTTCGCAATGCCGTTCGCCCTCCGCATCATGCCGGAGAGCGGAGGCCTTCGCCGGAGCACTCGTCTGCAGGGAGAGCTCTCCAGCGTGGAGCTGGACTCTCCGGACGTGCTCTGCCTCCTGTCCTTGCAGGATCAGGTCCAGCTTGGCCTGATCAAGGACCTGAGGCGCGGCGAGTGCCGGATCTCGGGTTACGCCGGGACACTGCAGTTGGCGAGGCACTCGAAGACTGGCCTCCTCCTCCTGTGCGTGAGCCAGTTTGGGGCGAACGTCACAGAGAGGCAATAAGTTTGCAGTGAAGCCAGAGGTGATCCCGAAGAGGACATCCAAGAAGGAGAAGAACACGTTCTCGATCCCTTTGAGGGACGGGACCTCACGCAAGGAAGAGACCTTGATCCCTTCAGGGGACAAGGACAGCATGGCGTACATGCTGTCCGAGATGGTGAAGGAGGCCGAAGGACAGCGGAAGGAGGTTCTGGTGGTCACGTTGGGCCTGGAAAAGGTCGAGACCTGCCAGCGTGGACACGGCACCTACCGTGGACTCACGGAACTTTTCCGGAGTATGCGGAAGGGGCAGTCGCACGAGTTCTCGCTGAACAACGAAGCCCACGAAGACACGCTTCTGGAAAGCCTGCGCCAGAATTTTGAATCCTTCCGGGACTACGCCACGGAGCAGATCCTCTTCCTGGATTGCCGGCACATGAACGACCCTGGGAAGGACAAGTCCCTCAGGGACCACTTAGGCACGTACCCCAAGAACGTGCAGGCCATGGTTTTGGACCAGAAGACAAATGGCAAGTGGGTGGCGTTCATGAAGGAGGTCGTGCCGGCCGTGCACTGCTCATCCAGGAGAACGAGCAGTGCGTGATCTTTATGTTTTGCAAATCGGGCAGGCACAGGTCTGTCTCGAATGCAAAGATCATGTACGATCTCATAAAGGAGACGTACGAAGTGCAAGCGCAGCTTCTTCACCTTTGCGACGGACACAACTGGAGATACCTATGCGGTGGTTGCGCAGAGTGCAACTGGGAGTCCAAGGAGGCTAAAAGCACCGCAGAGAAGGTGATGGACTTCGCGAGGGAGCGCTGGTTCGAATTCGTGCCCAAGGTCCAAGGTGTGGGTGCGAAAGGATGGCCAGCGCCACTTAGGCGACGATGGCGTCGTGGTGGAAGAGCCGATCCCTTCGGGGACAGCTCAGGCAGCGGGCGCAGGATCGAGCAAGGACCCGCCGCAGCCTGACTCGGCTGTCAAGGAAGGCCGCTCAAGGCGAGCACCCGGAGACAAGGACCACGACGAGGAGGACACCGCTGGGGCAGCCGAGGCCAGTGCCAGCTCGAAGGCACAGGCGCAGCCTTTCACGGTGGACACTCCTGAAGGAGTGTCGGTACCAGTCCACGACTTGCGCCCCGAGCTGGAAGGATTAGATGACAAGTCCCTTGAGAAGGTAAGTTTTCTTTTTCTTTCTAGGGTTTATAGTGTCTTCAACCCAGCGAAGCTTACGGAAGTCACTACGCTCGTGGCCAAGTACGCGGCGGACCACACCTCGCTCACCTGTGCCGTTGCCGCGAAGTACTTGGAGTACGAGGCGGCGAAGGCACTCCTGTCGTCGCTGGTGGCAGACGTCCGATCCGGAAAGCGGACGGAGAAAGAGTGGGACACCGACCTGGAGCTGGCGAACCGAAGCCTGGACCAGGCGATCCTCCAGCTGGACGAGGACAAGGCTGCGGCACCACCTGGCACAACCACAGCTGGAAGGACGACCGCTCAGGCGGCGGACCCACCGCAAAGAGAAAGGACCCGATCGGCACAGGCCGACGGGCGAGGAGAGAAGGGAAAAGGTGAGAAAGGAAAAGGAAAGGGCCGAGGAGACAAAGGACGTTGGCCGAACAACAACCCTCGAGGCCCAAGGACGTCCGATCCTGCCTCGACGTCTCACGCAGAGACCCGTCACGACCTGGCCAGCCTGGGGGAGAACCCCAACTACCCGGGCAACCTTACGGGGGCCTACTTGAGCCAGGTCATTTCGGGACACAAGAGGCACGGAGAAGTTGCTTTCAAAACCTGGTTGCAACCAGGTGTGGGACACGAGGGAGCCGGACCACCGGTTCGCGTGTCCTACAGGGCACACGCTGCGAACTCCTGGGACAAGATCCCGACGGAGTTGCAGCGCTACTGCAAGCACGTGGCGATCCAATGGACGCCCGATGGGCCCTGGGAGTGGCGCGAGACCAACGCGGCCGCCCACTCATGGGTTTACTTCGGCGACCGTTGGGACCAGCACCCGCGCCACATGCTGGTGTTCTTGGTTCCGCCACGCGGTGGCAGTGCCTTCTACGTTGGAGGCATGCTTCCGGATCTCATGGCTTCCGACCTGGTTTGAGGATTCTTGCAAGAACCTCAACACGCACGACGACCTGCTGATGCAGGCCTTGGGGCTCCCGTCGGTGGCGATCACGGGCGAGCCGCCCACGATCTTTGCCCTGGCGAGCTCGGAGTTCCAGCCCGGATCCCTTGAGAGGACCGGCGCTAAGGTGATCGTGCGTCACCCTGGCTACCGTATGATCCTTCTGGAGGACATCGGTTGGCAGAAGCAAATCTCTAAAGAGATTGCTAAGATCCGTCCCGACCTCCTGCTGTTGGTGTACAGTTTGGAAGACCAGGTAGGTCTCACCCCGCAGGTACAAACCTGGCTCCAGTCCCTCTCCGCGTACACAAAAGAAGTGCTTGTTCTCGACAGCCTAGGCAGCGTTAGGTGGAACCTGTGGTTCGAGAACAGTGTCGAGGGTACTGAGAGAGAGTTTCAGTTGTTTCAGTGTAGGGGTGACCTGTGTGTAGGGACGTTTTCGCAGGCGATAGGTGAAGTCATGTCTAGTTGGGCGAACTGTGACCATGACATACACTACTCACCTGTGAGCATCGACACAGTAGGCACGCAAGTTGGTTTTGCCGAAACCTTGTTGCTTGTGTTGCAAGAGGGCTGTGTAGAGGACCACGTTGCTGAAGCGTTTCCTGTTGAGGCAAGGCAGGATGAGGTCGAGCAATCTGGTACTCTAGATGCTATAGTGGATCTTAGAGACAACAGGACCACTTTTATGGATGATCTGGAAATCGCCGAAGAAGCAGACATCTTAGACACGTTGCCTCTAGCAGAGTTTCCGAAGGAAGAGTCTGAAAGGAGGAACGCGTGGTCTAAGGTGCCAAGGCGTGTTCGCTTGGGGATCAGGAGGTTGCACACCATGATGAACCACAAGCCTAAGGAGGTGCTAGTGCAGGTACTCCGTGGGGCAGGTGCTTCTGAAGAGTTGGTGAATGCAGCTAAGATCTTCAAGTGTGAGTCTTGCAGGGTTAGCGAAGAGAAGGTTCGCACACACCCTGTGTCAGCTCCACCACCTTACGAGTTCAACCACACAGTTTCGGTGGACGTGCTGGAGACTGCAGACTCAACAGGCGCAAAGTTTAGCTGGCTGAACATTATAGATGTCGGCACAAGCTATCAAGTTGTGACCTTGGTCCGCGTTGGTGGCGGACAGCCGAGCTCAGCCAAGTGCTTGCAGAAGTTCATGCAGCACTGAGTTTCCCCTTTTGGGTGGCCAAAGGTGGTTTCCCACGGCCGTGGTTTACACAACCGGGGCGCTTTCGCTCACGGCTTGGGTAGCCATGGAGTCCAGATCCGCCAAGCCGGACTGGAATCGCCTGAGCACATAGGAAAGTGCGAAAGGCATGGAGGCATCATAAAGCGAGCCTTCAAGCGTTTGGTCAAGGACCACAACGTTGTGGGCAAAGATGATGTCAAGGTGGCGATGCTCGAGGCGCAGGTCGCAAAGAACGAGTTCATGCGTGTTGGAGGCTTCAGCCCCACCCAGTGGGTGCTTGGACGCCTGCCCAGAGGAGTGGGCCACGTTTTGGACGAGGAAGAGCTAGGACAGCTTGGAGTCTTGTCGAGCAGGTTAGATATCACGACTGCGTTCGGCCGCCAGGCCGAATTCCGCCACACTGCCAGAAAGGCATTCGTCCATGAGGACTGCAGTCGCAGGGTACGAAAGACCGTTTTGCGAAAAGCGGCCCCCCTGCCGGGGAAATACCAAGCTGGCGACCTAGTTTGCTATAGGATCGCGCGAGATGAGCACTCAGGTGTCAGTACGTGGTCGACTGTTAGTAAAATAATCGGCTTCGATAACAAAACAGTCTGGGTGGTGCATCAGGGCGTGGCAACATACAGTACGAGCACGCGGAGGTTGAGCGCGAGCAGCAAAGGTACATTGATGCCACCGGGGATGATCTAGTACTAGACGACCCAGAAGAGCCACCGGACGGAGGAATTGGGATAGGTACTCCGATCCAAATGGATGCCGAAGCAGATCCTCCAGAGACTGCGGCCGCTGCCCCAGAACGAGCTGTTCGAAGGAGAGTTGGAGCAACACGTGAAGAGTCACGGGCCGTGACTGTGGAGGAGCCAGAGGACGAACAGGTGGACCCTTCAGGAGGGATCCAAGAGCCGATGGCTGAGGACACGGCGGTGGACGCCGATGGTGAGGCCGAGGCCACGGAAGGCAGCTCAGCGCTTCTTCTGAGGGCTTACGCTAGCCACTTCTGGACGAAAGAGGAAAGAACCGTTTGGAACTCACTTTTCGGGGAGAAGGAGTACGAGGCCTTACGGGTTTTCTTCGCAGACCGCGTCGAGGACGACAAGAAGGTGACGCAGTGGCGCAAGCGCCGCAAGAACTTTACGTCCAAGAAGCAGAAGGAGAAGCACGGGAAGATCCTAATGTACCACAAGTGCCCTGAGGATGTCCAGAAGGAGTTGGACAAAAGTAGAGCAAAGGAATGGGCAAAGTGGCAGGACTTCAGTGCTGCGATCATTCTTGATGACGCTCAGTATGATGAGTTGATCCGTGAAGGACATCAAGTCATACCTACCCAATGGGTAGAGCTGGACAAGAACCACAACAAGAGGTTACTTGATCCTACCGTGGAGGCCAACTACAAGAGTAGATTGGTTGTTCGGGGTGATCTTGAGAAGGGTGATCCTAGGAGTGATAGCCCTACTGCTAGCATAGAAGCTCAGAACTTAGTGTTTTCGTTTGCGGCTTCTAGGAAGGTCAAGATTAAGTCCCTGGACGTGACCAACGCCTATTTTCAAGGCGAGGAGATAGATAGAGTACTTCTACTATCTCAGCCCAAGGGAGGACTCCCTGGGCTCAAGCCTCACCAGCACATGCTGGCGAGAGCACCCATCTATGGCAGCACCGATGGTGGTAGACGGTTTTGGAAGCGGCTTAGGAATTACCTTAAGGGTAAGGGACTTCGCGAGAACCGCATCTACCGCGCGTTGTACAGTTACACCGACGCCGATGGGGTTGTACAGTTGCTCTTGACGTCCCACGTAGACGATCTATTGTGGGCTTGTGATCCGTCATGTGATTGGATCATGAACGATCTTTTTGAGACGTTCAAATGTGGAAAGGTCGAGACCGGGAGCTTCAGGTACTGCGGGAAGGAGATAAGCCAAGACGAGGATTTCAATATCCATGTGACCTGCAGCGAGACAACGAGGAACGTGAACAAGATTCACGTTGACAAGAGGAGGCACCCGGGAGATCCCTTAATGGACTTTGACAAGACGCAGATGAAGAGCGTCGCTGGGTCCCTTGCTTGGGTTTGCAGACAATGCCGACCCGACTTGAGCTATAGGGTATCCAAGATCCAGTCGGCTTCTAGCAATGGTACCGTCGCTGACATCAGAGATGCCAACAAAGCGGTCGAGTACGCTATTAGCACCTACGACAGAGGACTTGTTTTCAAGTCTGGGCTGTTGGACTGGAAGACACCAGGTGCTCTTTTGAGTCTGGTGATCACGGACGCTTCTCACGCGAATGAGTCCGAAGAGATGATCATAAATGAGATGACATCTGTGGAAGGACACCGGAGCCAAGGTGCAAGGATGGTGTTTCTTACGAACGGCGCCCTGTGGAAAGGGAACAGGGGTAGCATTCATCCCATCTTGTGGGCGAGCAACCTCGTTCGGAGGGTATGTCGCTCCACCATACAGGCGGAGGCCTACACACTTCAGGCAGGTGTGGAGGACGGTGACGTGCTGAGAGCAGCTGTCACTGACATCTTCGGATGCCTCGATATGAAAAGGTGGGAGGCTACGTCGGCCAAGTTTGTGAAACAGATCTGGATGACAGACTGTAAGAGTCTGGAGCTGACGCGATCGAATCCGAAATGCAATAAGCATTCGGACAAGAGATTGAGCATCGAGATCGCGTCCCTCAGACAGGAGCTATGGCGCAAAGCTGGCGAGAAAGCAGGAGATCCGTTTTACGACGACTACAAGCCAGCGGATGATCAGTTAACTGACATCGTCAGATGGATTGACACTGACGTGATGATCGCTGATCCGTTGACGAAGGTCATGGAGCCGGTCAAGTTGGTTGAAGCCCTGAAGACCAACACACTCGACGTAGAGCAGCCGCTCGAGAGTGTCGTTAAGAAGCGCGCCAAGCAGCTTCAGAGGAGGTCGACGAAGAAGGAAGAGGACAACGAGCAAGACCGTTGATCCTTGAGCACGAAGTCTCACCACACTGACGCTGTCAGAGTCACGGGTGTGAAACTAACCTGTTTTGCAGCGCGTACAGTGTGTGTACCTAGCGTTTTGTACAGTTTCAGACGTTCCCCTCTACCGCAGGGGCCCCTTGGACCAAGCCTACGGCTTTGCCGAAAAGTGACTAGTCTTCGCACATCGATATCTGCACAGCCAAAAATGTGCAATGCTCAGACACTTCAAGAGCCGGAGCTCGTGTGAAGCTAATGAGACGTGGTGACATGGTGTTTAGATGTAGGAGTGTCGCACATCATGTTTCACATCGCATGTACATATGCATACACATGTTGACTCAGGCCGTCTAAACTGAGTGCACCTGCGGCGTAAGTTTTGCATTAAACTCCGTTCATAATCCTTCCATTTGGCTTTTTCACCCGAAAACCGTTGACACATGCAATATTTTGAAGACACCGGCAGGTCGTTGCGCATAGGAGGCCGCAGAGCAAAACACCGAGATGCCCAGAGAACCTTGCCCATGCCAGACCTTACAGATTGAATTAAAAAAAAACAAGCAAATGGCGTCTCGGTTTTGAGTTGCAGCAAAAACATGCAGCAAGTACGGCATTGCTGCATGCGCCGAACGGGCGAACAAAGAGTGGAGGGAGAGGAGGGAGAGGGTGAGGGTCCACAAGTCGATGCCAACCAAGTGGAAGTTTGTGTGCATCCACAGGGGATGACGGAGAAAGATGCCGGCTTCCCAGATGAACGATCCAAGTTTGCTTCACGGCTCAAGATCAGATTCAGGTGATGGACTTCAACATTCCAACGGGTGTTCCGCTGGTCTATGAACTGGACGCGAACCTGCGCGTCATGCAAAAGTGACCCTTTGGCATGCCTGTAGCCGTGTAGCCCACGAACTTTGCCACGCTAGTTCGGTAGGCCGGGTTGGAAACGCATGGCCCCGCCATGGCAGAATAAGTTTTTGAGGAGACATCGAAGTTGTAGGTACTACCTCTTGGATGATGCTGCGGTGAAGGCCAAGATCGAGGGAGTGGCGAATCAGGGCAAGGCGGGCTTGCCTGACAAAGTGCACGTGTATTGAGCCCAATCCCGGCTTCAGGCAAAGTGATCCGACTTAGAGTCAGCGTCGGTGGACTGCGCAGTCCAACTGATTTCCGTGTCCGCAGTTATGCCAATGGCACCAGAAGCACTTGTAATACGGACTGATGTTGCCGCTAGCCCTACAGTCCAAAGGGACCGTGGGCACGTTTCACACGACACACGGAGTTAGATTCATCTTGGCTCACAGCTCTCGCCTTTTAAGAAGGGAGAGTCCCTGGGCACCCTCGTTGGCTTCGCTTCGACAAGCCGCTATTGTCGAGTCCTCTTCATCGCTCGGCGCCAATCGCATTTCACTGCAGCTCGAATGGGAACCCAGGAAAAGGGAAGCTGAGAAATCATACCGCTGGCCGTGATGACAGCCGGCGAGTTCTGCTTTATGCCGTCTTCATTGACGAATATGTGCAAATATTGGTCAGGCAAAAGGCGGCAAGTAGCTCCTTTCATGTCGCTGACACCAGTAACTTGTGCCTGTACTTGCACTTGGCCACTTTGGGTCGGGATTTTTAGGTTGATTGCAGGTGTCTTGCCCACATGCTGCGTCCGACGCATGTGGTCAGGCAATGATCGGTCGCAACGACGCGAACAAGCGGACAAGCTTCAGAGAGGGCAACTGCTAATCTGGACTGCAGGGGTTTGAGCTCCGTCCTCGATTTCTTGTCCCGAGCGCCGTTTGGTTTTCGGCTTGTGTCTGTGTTGAATAGTTACATGCGCTTCCCAGAATCAAAGGCGTAGGCAAATATCAAGATCATGCTTGATTCAGTGTCTTCGTACGCTGTCACGCTGTGATACCATAGCTTGCTGCGGTGTTCCGGGAATGCGTGTTGGTCTCCAAATAGCTTGCGATAGCAGCAAGCTACCGGGGACCGAAGGCATGAGATTCCCATAGCACCAAGGGGTTCTTACGCACAGAGTCGCAGGAGTGCCTACCGCCCAGTAAACGCAGGAGAGGCTGCCGTGCCATCCGGCGCTGTTCCACAGCAGGAGACCTGTCTTGTCTAATTTCAACGTGCGCCGCCCGCCTCGCCCGCCTCGCCCACCTCGGCTTGCCGGAGACCAGCACTGTGACAGAGCTCGTCCTTGCTTCTGTAATGTGAAAGAGCAGAGCGCAGAAGTGGGCGAGGGGGGAGGGCCAGGGGGGAGAGGAGGGAAGATGGGAGGGGAGCAGAAAAAGAAGAAAACACAGGAAAAGGCTGGGGCCGAAAAAGCTGGGCGGGGCCGGGGGTGGGAAATGAATCAACCAAAAACGGGTGCATCCAAATGCAGGATCGGGTCGAGGGTACCTGAGCTAGCAATCAAGCCTGTTGCCTCGGCGGATTCTAGTAACAGCTACACTAGCACAGGTGGTCCTAATGGTCCTAATGGTCCTGATGGTCCTTGGTGGTCCTTGGTCGTCGCGATGGTCGTGATCAAGAAAGCTCCGCTATCGAGCCATATGCTAAATGGTTGTGCAACCACACTACACGTTTCTGTCAGTTCCGGTCATGGCCCAAGTCAGTGCCATCATGCGATGTGTGGAAAGTGTTTTAGTGATAGAAGCCCTGTGCTGCGAGACGAATGTGTGGAAGAGGCGAAGCCCACCTTCAGCAGTGTTTCGGCAGGGACCTTCGGAGCTGATCCTATCCCGCAAGTGGCGTCTGTGCGGGATATTCGTGTCGTTCTCCTACACGCCTTGCACTCGTCAACAGGAAGACGCGTGCGCAACATTCAACGCGATGTTTCATGAACTGAATCCGAGCTTCTGGCCCAAAGCTACGCTGGAGTGTCGCTTTGAGGAAGAGTCTGAAGTGGTCAAGTGGTGCAACTGAGGACTGGGGCCTAGGGCACAAGAACATTTGGAGAGAAGCGCGAGGAGAGAGCTTTGTCTGAGGTGTTTGAATGGCATCGAACCATGCAGGGCTCATGAAACTTGCAACGTGCAGATCTTATGGTGTGGAACGTCTTTCAATATGTTACAGTATATCTGATCTTGCCATACGGTTTATTCCTTGTATTTTTCTGTTATGCGATGCGACAATGTAGCATTTGGAAAGCAAGCATATGATATGTTATGTCGTGTTACAGTGGTATCAGGTTTTGTTGTACCATGTTTGTCTCAAGCAGCACAAATGCACAAACGTGCAACTATCAGTCATTAGGTATTAATAAAGTAGTCTATTAAAGTATGTTGTCATACATGTTTTTTTAGAAATCCGATTTTGTTTATCATAATGTACGCATAAATATATATATTGTGACATGTTTTTTTTATTGTGTGCTACTTTCTTGCATTATATTATGTTGTACTCGGTCATACATTTACTTTATCACAGTATATTTGCATTAATATACATACGTACACTTTGCATACTATATACTGTTTACGTATTTCTACATAGACTATAGTTCACGCGTTCTTTATCTATGTGTATTTATGTTTAGTATATAGTATACAGTTTATGATATCTATATATATATATATGTTGATGTTGTGTATGTATATATATATATATATTAGCGAACATCGTGTTTATATGTATATTCTGTATGTTATATATCAGGTTGAGTTTACATGTTATACAGTGATACAGCAGATTTTACCTGACGTACGCTATTGTATTGCTTTGCATGACATTATCTCGTATCATATGAATTGAATTGAATTATTATTATAGGGTATTGCATTATGGTGATGTGCTTCCGGAAGCATTGATCCCCGAAGCCTTCGGAGTTGCGGCTCAAAGTCAATGGGCGAACCATGCAGATCTGAACAGGCAGCAAATTCTGGAGTCAGGTAACCAACTGTTTTCTCGAAAACACGCTCGAGACAGTGTCCAGTTCCAAAAGTTAGCAGCTACCAGACTGACAGACTGCCGCCTAGCGCCTAGCGGCGACGAGCGCAGACATTGGAGCATAGAGTGGCACAGGAACTTCTTATCCTCAAGCGCAAGCCTGGTGCAAGCGCGCCAATAGCGCAAGCTCCAAAAGAGAGCGCGGGGGTTCCGAGTTGGGCAACCGGGCCCATGGTGCGACTCGCCACGCGGACGGTGCCGGCCTCGACGTTGTATTGAATTTGGACTCTGATCGATGCTTGATCTTCGGACTTCGGTTCGGTGGTTCGCTCTTGCAATGCTGCAAAGTTGCGTTTCGACTCGCGGTTTGCAAAGTCCTACAGTCGGTCAAATAATGCTCGGGTCGAGATTGACGCTGTTTTGTTTCAAAAAGCCGTCTTATGAAAGTAATTCGCTGGCAGAATCGGAAAAGCCGAGAACCCCGGCAATACCCGGCACCAGGGCGAGCACGGCGCAGCGTCTCCCGAGATATGTACATAATCTCTCGCACACACCCAGGCAAATGCATGTGTGTACATGTTTCATCAATCTCACATATTGTGCACTCTGTGCATTCCTTTCGTTTGCTTCTCATGCTGCCTGGCATTCTGTCAGCTTTGTTTCACACCGCTGCTCGAAGCTGACCCTTGTGGTACTGTTCAGCGTTTGGATTCGGCCGTGCAAACCAACGGGTTTTCCGAGTGCTGTCGTAGCAGTGACTTCGGAGCCCGGTGGCAGTTCCCGCAGCCTGCCACGTGCCGCGTGTCGAATGCCATGCGTGCCTGCTGCAATGCCGATCAGTGCTCATTCTGCAGCAGCTGTTGCTGCTTTTGTTCTGCCTGCATTGCCTTGCTTTCATGTTTCTGATGCCTCTGCTGCCTCCGTCGCGCACCATGCCTCCTCTGTGCACGGTGTTGACCAATCTTGTCTCCGATTGGGCTTGGAGCCTTGCCGCCGATACTGTGGCATTCTACCGTGGCGTGCAGGACATGCTCAATGGCTTCGATATATTCTCAGGACTGGCATCGCCGATCTTCGGTGGCAACCCGCTCAAAGGCGTGGCAAGCCGTGGATTGCCTTATGGGAGACAAAGGACAAGATTGGTAAACGTCTGTCACAGAAATTGCACGGTGCGCCATTACACCTGCCCACGACCAGCCACCATGTGAGTTTCCGTTTGCGGGCCAAAGTCTTTTCCGTACCTGCATCCTGCAGGCGTTTGGCGAGACCCCGCTTCAGACTGCCGCCTCCTCGTAAAATCTGACGATGTCCCCAGCCATCGGCTCCGAGGCACTTGTTGGCTAAACTGCACTTGTTGCATCCGTTAAGCCGCGGGAAGCGCTAAAGATGTTTTGGCAGCAAACACGAACACGGCAAGACTGAAGCTGTGGATTTTTTGTAATATCCACGGGCCTCGTTCTATCACCAACCAATCGCTCCATGGAACTCGCGGCTGAGCATGCTTTGATTTGAGTCCACTCATCCATGGCTGCTGAGTGGCTTGTTGACAGGACGAGCTTCGGTGGCTTGAAAGGCATACTGAAAGCTGCAGCATGCGCTTCTCGGTGTTGTCGCTTGGCAACAAAAGGCGGCAGTCCAGCTGGGCAGTCCAGCCGGAACCTTTCTTGAGGAAGAGTAGGAGTCTTGCAACATAGAGGTGGCGCAAACAAAACAGTCGAGGCTGGAGCTGGGATCTGGCCAACCGAAAGAAGGCAGCGACATCCTGTGGCCTGACGGGTCAGAGCAAGGATCGCGAGGAACTTCGGACCGATCATGCGGTTCCAAAGCGTCCGAGCGGACCTCGCGGTGACAGCCCAGCCACAGTCAAGATAGGAAGGAGGTCGAAGAAGAAGCGTCGCTCGCCACAACAAGCTCGATGCATGAAGACTGGGACTTCAGGCACGGCGAGAAGGACGTGTGCATGTACCTGGACTGCGGCTAGACGATGGTGAAGGCGGCCAGCACAAAGGACGCAGTGGATCCCCGTTTTGGGGCCATATCGATCTACGAAAGGCGACAAGTCAAGGTCCATCCGGGCTATCGTACGTGCCGCCAGAGCAGATCTCGGTCATCCGTCGAACACAGCCGCCGAAGACAGTGTTTCAATGGTAGACGTTTTATTGCCAGAACAAAGTCGTTAAGCCCCCCCCAAACCATGCTGATGACTCTCCAAAAAACCAATGTTTTCTTTCACCCCTCCCCTCCCATACTTTCCCCAAAACTGCAACGGGGCGCAATCTCTGCACTTTCCCTCGCTGTAGCCCCTGCGCTCGCGCAACGTCTACGGGTTCCTTCGCTTGTGCGTTCTCCCAGCGCTTCAGCCCCTGCGCTTTCGCAGCGCTTGGGCAATCTGCGATATGGACAGCGCTTCATGTTCCCTGCACTCGGTTCTGCAAGAGCAAAAAGGAGCGCCAAAGACTCATATTGGTAATCATTAGAACAGCACCTATCTTAATCCGCATTTGCCATAAACCCAAATTGCTCAACTAGCCCTCTGTAGTACAAAGAATCTCGCGGTCAGTGGGCAGTTTCATCCAGTCATCCGAGCTTTTAAATGATCACATAAACAGCTATATACCAGTGTTCCGATGCTGCGATAACCCCCGGGGTGCCTCTGATGATTCACATCCCATTTCGGCGCACACTTGCATTCCTGTTGAGACTGTGGCATTGTGAGGGCACTCACAGACATGCTTACGAAGCACAAGCAGCGCCGAATGAGCAAAAGAACCAAACCTAATCGACCAGTAAGTTGCTTCCTGTTTCTTTGTATGCTGTTTGTTCCTATGCTGCTGTTCTTGCACTGGCCTCAAGCCTGTTTCGTTTGAGGTATGGAATTGAACCAAACTGAAACAGAATGGGGATCTGGTTCTTTGATTTGCTTTGGACGTCTTTGGCTTGATGTTCAAAGCGCAACAGACAGCGCACCCAAACAGGGTTCATAAAACCCCAAGCTGACAACATGCTCTTTTTGTCCTTTCTCAGCCCAAACAGCAACATTCAACAATCCAGATTTTGGGCTTCCAGCACATTCCCAGCCCGAAGCACGGCAGGATGTAAACATACAAGCCGTCGCGGGGTGCACCGCGAGCCCCTACATTAGCTGCACGGGGTGCGCGAGATTTTTCAGGACCAGCGATCGTAACCAGTGCTTTGCCGGTTCGTCTTACAACCGATGCGACCCTCTTGAACTTTGGCTCCTCGACCCCTAAATGCTCTTCTTGTAATGGACCTTGTCCACGGCCTTGTCAAGGACGAAAATAATGCTGCCGGGATCATGCCGACTGCCACCAAACAATCTCCTAGTTGTCTTCCCCTGTGCCCTTCTGCACCACCGTCCGGTTCTCCTCGGTGTTCGCTCGAGGATGCAACCTCTCCCCGTACCGCAGTATGTGCCTGAATCTAAACCCAATAGCCCAATAGCCCAAAGCCCTGCACCCAAACTAACGCAACCACCCCGCGCGGCCGAGATTTGCCGTGCTGGGTGGCCCAGGGCCCGCCCAACCACTTCAGGCTTGAGTCAAGGCCGCTAAGCAGCCAGGCCAGCCTTCAGTGCGCCCGCTGAGCTGAGCGCCTGCGCTTTTGGACCCCCCAAACAGCTCTTTCTTGTCGCTTTCGAAGCGTACCGCCAAGCGCGCAATCATGAATAACATGGACAAGACGGGACAGGTCCTTCAACTACCCGTGGGCCCATCGGTCCCAGCGAGGAGTGCTCGCATTCCCCTCACTGAGGTCTCTGGATCGGGGAGCTCTTCTGGAAAAGTCTGCCCGAGGCGGAGAGTTCACGGTGGAAGCAAGAACCAGCTGTCTAGAGAGTCTAGACTCTCTAGACTCTAGACCTTTCCCTTTCCCAGGTCCACTTCTGACGAGGACGGCTCCTCGTCGGTTTCCGCCGAGGCGACGAGGGCGCCTCAGGCGGGGAAAACCAAAAAAGGGACCTCCAGCAGGGCACACGGAACGGCGAAAACGGTTAGGTGCTCAGCACGAGCGGGCCCCGGAGCGCGGGTCTTTCGGACGAGATCCCAAAGGCACTTGCGGCTTGCGCGTGCTTTTGGCTGGTTCAGCCGTATGGCCTGTGACAGGAGGGTCGCGTCGGGCGTGGCATGGCGCGGCAAAGCGATCGTTGTGCGAGTGCCAAGGAGCCGCAGCAAGAGAACATGTAGCCGTCAGAGCATCTATAATGGAATCTTACGAAAAATCCCATGGCATGGCGTTCTGTTCTCTGCTCTGCTCTTTCCTTGAGGAGCGGCGCACGGCGGTGTCGCCTTTCAGATCGCTTCCGGAGTTGCACCCGCACGAGGCCCCTTGTCACATGGCCGCCGGCCTCTGCAGCCGGAGTGTGCCGCTGATGCCGCTGCCAGGTTGAGCTGAGGGTGTCTGTCAAGGCCTGCCTTGTGGTGATTTCTGGTGACTTTCTGTTTTGGGGGCATTGCCATTGCGGGGCCCAAAACCCGTCTCCTAGGACCTGTCCCGAGACGTGGCTCCGGAGAAGTTCCGATCCAAAGCCAAGAGCGTCGGGGGCTTCGTCTTCGGGCCGCTCGTATGCACGGCATGGGATGCATGGGCACGGGGCTCTATAAGTGTCCTGTGTAGATCTCTCGTCCTGGCGTCCTGGCGAGGCTCCTGGTCTTCCCCCAGGGCACCAAGAGCGCTCCGGAGCACGCGCGGAAGAATCGGCCAGGCCAGCTCGGCTCGGGAATGTGCGGGAATGTTTCCGGGAATCTGCAGAATTGCAGAATGCTTCCGAGCGCTTGGCGCAGGGAAAGGGAAGGAAGAGGACGACACAGACAAAGCCAAGGCGCGACGGAGGGACACTCAGAAGACGGCGCCTTTGCCAGCAAGCAACGGTTGGTACCGGCGCACTGTAACAAACTTCTCTGCTCTCCGCGTATTTTGGGATTTTTCAGAGCTCAGGAGAAGGAGAAGCTGAAAGCAGCCCTTCTGAAGGAGGTCCCAAAAGAGAAGGAGGGACGTGACAAGGAAAATGAGAAGGACGGCAACAAGGAAGGCGATGGGAAGGAGGCCCCGCAGCGCTGCACTGCCTTGCTCTTGCAAGGGCCCTTGCAACAGGACAAGAAAGACACTCGCTGGATTTCCGCCTTCGTGGAAGCACGGCCCAGCGAAGACTACCCTCCTCACTGGTACTTCGAAGATGTGCAGTTTCTGGTGTCGCTCATCAACTTCCAGGATGGGGGTTCGCTCCCAACAGCTGCGCCCGCATGGGGGCCCCCTCCTCGTTCTTTCCGCGGCGCATCGCTGAAGTGGGCATGCCGCTCATTGCTCCATGCCTATGGCCTTTGCACACGGCTTTTGCAGGACTTGAAGAAATCGATCGTGAAGCACGACAAGCACACCTTCTCGCCGGTCGAATCCTCTGATGGGAAGGCCAAAGCCAAGGGCCCAAGGGCCTTGTTTTCATCGCATCTGCACCTCGCGGAGGCGATTGATCGCGGCTGGCACGACTTTGTCCACTGCGACGAAGCGACGCTGCGCAACAGCGGCTTCGTGGACAAAGACGACACGGTCTGCTTCCGCCGCTTGGCGCTAAAGCTTCTTTGGCTTTGAAAGCGGTCGCCGCTGGGAGCCGCTGAGAGGTGCTTCCGTGTACTTGGCCGGGGGAGCGATGAAGGTGAACTCCAAGAGCAAGAGCCGCTACATGAGCCTGAGCAGCCGTCCCGGATTGGAACAGAGCCGATATGGGCTTCTCTCTGGCCGCTTCTCTGGCTCAGGCAAAATCGACCCGGGCTCCTACGAGCCGGGAGCCGGGGCAGAGAGAGAGAGAAAGAGGCGAGCGAAGGCGAGGGAGAGTGTTTTCTCGAGTCCGCGCCTCCGCCTAAGCGAGGCGAGCGCCACAGTTCCTGAACAGCCTCGTGCAGATTTGGTACCACCTCGGCTACTTCCGTTCGGCCCGGGGCCCACGCCCTTTTTACGACCGTTCGGCCGTCTACGCTCGAGCGGGCCGAGACGTTTTTTGCAGGCCATCTACAGCGCCTCGAATCCCTGCCAGCTCTCGGGAGCCAAGAAGTCCCGCGCCCGCAGCTCGGAGCGGTCCGGGTCCGCTAAGCAGCGGCAGCGGCGGCAGCCCCCAATTGTCAATCCCCACCCCGCCCTGGCAGGTGCTGCCAGCCTTGCGGGAGATCTTCGTGCGTCTGCAGGAGGGAGAGAGAGAGAGAGAGAGAGAGAGAGACACTGCGCTTCACTTCTGAGCACAACTTGAGCACTTGCCGCTGTCAGCACCGGACGCTTCCGGCCAGCTGTTCCGTGCTCTGCGCGGCCTTCGGCCGGAAGGGCTGGCAGAAAATCTGCAAGGCCTGCCGCCTGCCGCCATGTGCCTGTACATGTTGTGATTGCAAGTCTAGCTTGCCATGGAACTGCATCCCCTGCCAGCACACGTGCACGGCATGGCAAAAGGTGTCACAAGGTTCATCTTATGGGTTCAGTGCTTGGCGGCTCGGCGGGCGAGCCGCATGGCAGTTCTCAGCTTTCCTGAATTCTCCTGAGGCGGATCCCGACGTCTTCTGCTCGGAGGTCTTCCAGTGCCTGGAGTCGGAGCTCATGCCCTCCCAGGAGATGCTCAAGGCCGCAGAGGGAGGGACAAAAAGACCCCATCATGGCCCATCACCACCTGAAGCGCGAAGCCTTGACAAGACGAAGACAGTAGCGCCACCACTGGGCTGGCTCCCAACCGATCTCTGCGCGCCCTCCTGGCCGCGCTCGGCCTGCAATGCGTCCTGTGTCAGCTAAGGGGATTCTAAGCCAGGCCAGAAGGCCTCCCGTGTCCGATTCTGGTGTCAGACAGCCGACAGCCGACAGCCAGCAATCGGCCACGGCAGCGGGCCTTTGGGGGGGGGGGGAGAAACGCGCAGAGGCGGAGGGGACGTGCTAAGCCTTTAATTGCTTGTAAGTCTTAAGTTACGTTTTGTTTCTTTTGCTTGGCTGCTTGGCTTTGCTCCCACAGGCCGAGGAGGCGGCCGTGAAGGCCTTCGTGTCGAAGGCGAAGGAGGCGAAGGATGCGAAGAAGAAGGAGCCGAAGCCGAGCTCCGAGAAGGAGAAGGAGCCGCTCAAGGCCTCCGAGCCTCCTTCCCTTCTCTTAGTCTTTCTCTTGAAAGTAGATAACTCTCTCTCTCTCTCTCTCTCTCTCTCTCTCTCTCTCTATATATAATATATATATATATATAGAGAGATTATGTCAATTATCTCTCGCTCTCTCTGACTCTATATATATATATATTATATATATATGTCTATCTTTTTTTGTGAGTCTCTAAGTGTCTCTTCAAGCCTTGCCTAATTGGAGAGCTTGAGCTTGCTTGGGGCGTCTCTCGGCAGTCTCCGTCCGGTCCGTCCGGCAGGCCTCAGCCGTCGGCAGCTCCAACGTGCGGGAAGCGAACGTTTCGGCCAGCGGAGCGAACGGCGGGCACCGTGTGCCCGCCGTGGAGGTTCCAGCGGAGAACCGCACGCTCTGGCAATGCATCCAGGACATGTTCACCTTCGAGGCAGCGCAAGAGCGGAGCAGAGCGGAGATGAGCGGAATGCGAGCGACTCCAGTTTTCCCTGTCTTTCGGCGGCGCTGCCCTCGGCCCTAAACCCTGCTCAGTCTGTTGCTCCCCTCTTTTGGGGACGGGCGACTGCAGCGCGGGGGATTCGCGGGGCGCGGGGCTTTGCGGCGAGGTGCACAGCGTGAGGCGACGCGTTTCATAATGCGTGTCGGATGTCAACGTGAGGGTTTTTCGAGTGAGCCCTTGCATTGGTCCTCCTGTTTTGTTTGTCTTCGAGGTGGAGTGGACGGCCTCGGCAGTGGAAGGGGACTTCTCTGACAGCTGCTTGCACACGGGGCCCTGCTTCACCCTCGCCCCTTGGCCCGGAGAAGAAAGCCCAGCGGCTCGCATGGTGCCTCGCTTTCCCTTGCTCGGCTACTGTAGGTGGTGCGAGGCTTCGCCAACTTGGAGGAAACGTTGGACCAGTACTTCTCCCCCAAAGTCATCGAGGATGGCTCCGGCCTCCGCGTGCGCACCACGCGGAAGTTCAAACGGATGCCTGGAGCTCAGCTAGCGATGGACCGACAGCAGCGACGCTTCACCGACCCCCCCCCCCCCCCCCCCCCCCCCCCCCCCCCCCCCCCCCCCCCCCCCCCCCCCCCCCCCCGCGCCGGCATTGACAACGACACTGCCGCCACCGCAGGCACTGCTGTCATTGGTGACTCCCTAGAATTTGGAACGTTGTTGAACGTTTCTCTTGACGAACGTTGTTGTCCAAAAACCCATCGGGTAGTCACAAATGACGGGTGGTTGAATTGAACGGCTGGAAATGGAGACCCTGGCATGGTTTTGCCACATGCCGGCACATGCGCCGGATTGTTTTGATCTTTCATGCGGAAAACAGGTAGTCACAAATGACTGTTATCAAGTGGCCCGACAATATTTCCCAGGCGTGGTGCTCATTTTAAATATCCCGCTGATTCCTAGGTCCTAGGTGCTGCGTGAACATGCAATTGTCCTAGGCGCGGTGCAATTCTTCTTGAGAGTAGTGTTTTGCCTTAGGCGCGGTGTAGTATTTGCCGTGCACGACATGCTCGCTTTCGCGTTCGTGCTGCTGGGCATGGCCGACTAGGCATACGTAACATGTACAGCATAATGTACCATGTGTGTGTATATATATATGTGGACATCGTAAAATATCGACAATGGAATCGATTATCGCTTAATATCATCACATCAGCCAATATACACAATTTACTATGTTCTAATTTAATAATATACTATATAGTATAATATAGTACAATATAACATAACTCAATATAATTAGGCTAGTATAATACAATATATGCAGTAGTTGATGTGGTATCGCGTGGTATAATTTCATGTAATCAAAAAATTGAAAGATAATATGCCACAGCAGAATCTGACGTAATATGATATACGATTATGTGAAAGTGTGCTCAGTTGACAGCATGTGCGAAGCCAAGTAGTCAAGCTTAGCTGCTGTTGTACAGTCATAATAGGAGACCAGCAGGTTTGACTGTGAGTGACCTACCGCAGCGTGCCGTTTTTGGGCCAAGGCTCATGCTGGAAAATAACCAATTTTCACACCGGTACCAGAGCCAGTGCCCGAATCCGGGCCAGCGCTCGTTTTTTCACTTAGTCCGCCCACTGCGGCGGTTACCCCTCCTCGCAGCCATGGCAGCTGGAGGGGGGTTGTAACGATGACGAACCCGAGATTACTAAAGGAGGATTCCTTATCTATAGTGGTTCCGTCCAGGACTACTATGAATGGGAATTCCGTGCGATGGCTAAGTTACACGCGACGAAGGCCGACTAGGCTTGTTGCTCTGCGTAGTGCTGGTTCCAGCGCTCCCCCAAGCGTGCCTTGCGGTCCTCCACTCAGTTCCCACTTTGCAGCTGCGCCCTCCCCCTCCAATGCGATCTTCTGCTTCTTAGCGCTCTCTGCCATTATCACGGTCTTGTGTACTGCCTGAGTACTGGAGCGAAGGGTTTTGCAGGATGTTCATTGGACTCAGCTTGAGGCGGGTCCTGTTATCAAGCACTATGTTTGGACGATGAATGACTCTTGTTGACTCTTGTTGAGGTGGATGGTGGGATCGAAAAGGAGAAAAGGGAGGTGAAAGGAGATGAAGAAAGGGTGACCGCGGAGGCACCTAAACCCCTAAACTCATCGGTGAACCGAGAGTTGATGATCTCGGCATGATCGTGGACGCTCTTGGAAACGAAGGGATCTTTGCCTTACTGGACGAAGGGTGTAATGCCTCGTGCCATAGCCGCCGTTGGCGCCTCAACGCGGAGATAGAGCTCAGAAGCATCGTCGTCCCATGGAGTCGCCTGAGAATATTGACCAGCTGCTTCCGGACCGTCAGCTATAGTAGTCGGGGTTACAAAGCGTGGATGAATCATGCCCCTCAATGTCCGGAGTGTCTGAACAATGAGCTAAATAGTAACAGATTACGTTGCTCAGCAGACATGTCCTCATGCGGAACGAAAGGCTCGGCTCGTGCAACTCAAACGACCAGTAAACATGAGCTTTTGACTCAAGGCACCTGACATGTGCAAACATCTGAGTGGCATCTCCAGTGTGCTGGCACATCACTGTAGCAAAATTACGAAGCTCAAATGGAGGAGGTGGCTGAACCCCTGCAGTCGTACAACTTGACCAAGGCAAGCATGTTACGCTCAATGACCTGCGCTCGGGTCTGCCAGCTCTTGAGTTTAACACAGACTGCACCACCCACCACTCCAGAAAGTACCAACTATGTGTGCAAGTCGGCAACGGTGCTGTCCCTTCATCATCAACAGGATACAGCAAAATGTCCACACCGACAACTTCCTCCATGAATGCAAAGAGCAACCTAACAAGACAGTTTATCAGCGCGGTAGGAAGCCGAGATGCTGCCAGAAACCATGAGCTGACACTGTTCAACGCTCGAAATCAAGCTCCGTCATGTGCACCATATGACTGTTCGAGTCCACCGGGGAACCTTTTGGTCATGAAAGCCCATCTCCTGACAAAATCGGGGCACCATTCCACTGTTGGCCCCATAGGAGCGGTTGAGCCTATCACCTCAGGAAGCTGCCCACCATAACGCGCGGTACGCTCGATTAGTCTATCCCGCAGGAGTGCGACTTGTTATGGCAACATAATGGGCCACACAACGTACCCTGGCAATTCGCATGAGCGAGTGTTGCCGGTGGCGACAAGGCCGCACACGGAGTATAGGTTGACACCACCATTCACACTTTCTGGGGAAGATCTTGTAGAGGATGAGACGATTTCCTAAGTATCCTGGTTGCCCTGACAAAGATTCGAACGCTGACATGTTGACATGACTGATGTGCGCAGGCCGTGAAATCGTCGGAAGGTGTTGGCTTAGCCCCATGCCATATCCAAAGAACATCATCGACGAAAGTAGAGCGTTATCCAGGATACCCAATGTACAGCGAAGGTACATACATGTCGTCATCCCCCGACCATATCCTGATGTGTGACTGGAGCTTCGTTGCACCAGGCCAAACCACACATGCCTGGTGCCCCTGCTGCTGATGCAACAATCTCACAACGCACCTGTCTTGCCAAAAAACGCTTAGCTTAGAATCAAGGTGTGCGCACAGACACACACACAGACACACACAGACAGACACACAGACAAACACACACACACACAGACACACACACACACACACACACACACACACACACAGACAGACATACAGACAGACACACACAGACACGCGCAGACACACACAGACACACACAGACACGCACAGACACACACACACACACACACACACAGACACACACACACACACACACACACACACAGAGACACACACACACACAGACACAGACACACAGACACACACACACACACAGACACACACACGCGCGCACACACGAGCGCACACCCACACACACACACACCCACCCACACACCCACCCACACACCCACCCACACACCCACCCACACACCCACCCACACACCCACACACCCACCCACACCCACACCCACACCCACCACACCCACACACCCACACACCCCCACACCCCCACCACCCCCACACACCCCCCACACACCACACACCCCCCACACCCCCCCACACCCCCACACACACACACACCCCACACACCACACACCCACACACACACACACACACACACACACACACACACACACACACACACACACACACACACACACACACACACACACACCACACACACACACACACACACACACACACCACACACACACACACACACACACACACACACACACACACCACACACACACACACACACACACACACACACACACACACACACACACACACACACACACACACACACACACACACACACACACACACACACACACACACACACACACACACACACACACACACACACACACACACACACACACACACACACACACACACACACACACACACACACACACACACACACACCGACACACACCGACACACACCGACACACACCGACACACACACACACACACCGACACACACACCCCCACACACACCCACACACACATCACACACACACACAGACACACACAGACACACACAGACACACACAGACACACACAGACACACACACACACACACACACACACACACACACACACACACTTGAACACCCAGGCTACCCTGGTAGAATGTTCTTCAGTGGTCTGCTTCACTCAGCAATTCAATGAGTTCAAAACTCAGCTGAGACATCAAAAGAAAAGCGTTGTCAGTGGGGCTTCAAAAGGCTCATGATTTCCTTGTCGGTCTTTACTAGCGAAAACAGCCAAGCGACACCTGTAACCTTGCACATGAACTCCACTCTGTGCTCTGGCTGTCGGACTTGAAGCAGTATACAGCGAATATGAAAGGGAAAACAGTGTACGGCTTGCACGATGGAGTATGTCACAAGCTTTTGCAGGTACACGAGTCAGCGTCCTGACTCGCTTCACAGATGCAATGCTGGCGTCTTCGTTGATGCCAGTCCAGCATGCATCCCTGGCACCCCCTGCAAGAATTTCTGATCTCAAAGCGCTCTGCATCCCGTTGTAGTTTGGGGTCCCCACACACACTGACCTCCGATGGAGGGGCGCGACTGTTTTGGCTCCGCAAGCCCGACACCGTAGGAGCTTGCATTGAAGTGGGTCTTGTATACATATATATATATATATATATGTAAGCCCGACACCGTACGAGCTTGCATTGAAGTGGGTCTTTGCATATGTACATATGTAAGCCCGACACCGTAGGAGCTTGAATTGAAGTGAATCGTGCTTCCCTGCAAGCTTGACACCGTAGAAGTCTGCAGTGATGTAGACGCACAACAGTACTTTAGAGGCTTAGGGGCAAAAAGAGGCTTAGGGGAAAAAGAAAAGAAAAGGAAAAAGAAAAGGAAGAACGCACAATTTTGATGAATGCAGCCAAGGTTCAGAGCATCACACTTAGGGGCTTAGGGGCCTACGGAAAAAGACCAAAAAGAAAAAGAAGAAAACTTAATACAAGCCCAGGTTCTTGCGCGCTAGCCGTGTTACCCTAGCGCATTAGACGAGTTACGCAAAGCTCAACATGGTCTTCAAGAAAGATTTCAAGATGAATTTCGAGAAGCATTTCAACATGAATTTCAAGATCGACACTTTCCGTCCTCAGCATATACTTTCCGATCTGTTAAGGTTTGGGGCCTGTTGCAGACCTAGCCCAGGATCACCCGTCCCACTCGGGGCACTGTTTCAAGGGATACTGCCTCGAGAGCAGCGGTAATGGCG